CTTGAATTCTTGCATGAACTAGTCATGATCATTCTCAGCAAATGCTTGGTTGTGTTGCATTGATATTAGAAATGGTGAAGGAACATGGAGAGTAATGAAATCATATATGCGCAATGTAGCATGTACTTAAGTATCTTAAAATTTATGATACTACAAGCCACAATGATAATGTAGTTTTGAGAAACTTAGTGTGAAGAAACCATTGTTCTAGAGACATACAAAACTGCGCTTTAGAAAAAAGTGATACGGAGTGGGAGTTATAGCAATACCATGGTTGTCTAACCACCTTATAGCTTTCCAAACAAAAGTATATTAAGAACCACATGGGAAATTTTCTAAAAAAAATAAAAATACTTTGCAGCCAAAGATGGTCTACAAACATTAGCGTATAGTGTCAAATATATCTTTATTACCAACAATCGCCTCAAGAGTCATTGGATATCATATATATAGTAACATTGCCACATGAACAATTTTGTTAGTTTATACGTAGTAAAAATTGCATGTTGCACATAGCTTGGCCAAATGGCCTTATTTGTATCAGGCTATCAGCACTTATCAAGGTTTTACACCATAATAGAGCTAGATTTTTTAGCCAAGGATTTGCTTAAGTCTTGTTATTGGTTATTATGGTATGTGTTGGTTGAGGTTTATAACCTGAGATAGGGTCGCACTGCAGCCTTTCTCTAGCAAAAAATGTAAGTCTAGTAATTGTGTATTATCTTAGTAATCAAAGCTTTAGTTTAGAATTAGGTGGTAAATGATGAAAAAAAAATCTACTAGCGACCACCGTGTTAAACCAGTAAGTTGTTTTCCTTAACACATTAACCATGTTATGTGGTTGGACTCAGACCAGACAGGTTTGGATCTAGGCGAGCTAGACTATTAAATAAAAGGAAATGCACAAGCCACGTGCCCACACCACATCACCATACTCTTAAAAGGTAGTAGGGGAAAAAAAAAGAAATTAATTGGGAGGTTAGAGCCAAAGCGATAACACAAAAGTGCGGCCGGAGAGGCAGGCAGAAATACCCAACACATATCCACACCATCCCTCCAACCCAGACAAATCGCTCATGAAAACCCTACAACAACAGGAGCAGCGTTCGATGGCCGCTGACAGTAACGCTGCAATGTCCCAAACTTCTCTGAATAGAAGTTGTAGGAACAATCTCCACTCTAAGGCGCATACTCCAACCTAAACCAGTAAAATCATGCTCAAGGGCTTTCGGTGATGGGGTGGTTTCACGATGAGATCGCCATGTTGCGAGTTTTGATGATTCTTGTGATCCAAGGTTCATGTTAGGAGGATCTGATGACCCGAGAGCATCACATCCACTACAACATTGCTTTAGTGAACTCCTCCATGCAAGGTCTCTAACACCTAGAGGACTCACTTTGAAATCCTTGGGATCCTCAGCCTTAGCACTAAATACCAAAGTTGTTCCTAATGATATCCCATGTTTAAACAATTTGCAAGGTCATTTAAGCATTTCATGTAGTAGTCACTCTTGCTATTCAGTCAACACATGAAATATCCCTTGATCATGAAATGTGGCCTTCATGAACAATGTTTCTTTTGTTAACCTAAGTGTAGAGATGAGTGAAGAGGACAAGCAAGAGGTGTTAGGAAGAAAGACGAGATAACAAGCGAAATATGTTTGATCGAATGTTTCAACCGTAAATGATGATCGAATGCGAGATGCTCATGCTTATGTTATGCAAGTCAAATTGATCAATTCGTGAGGTACAACCCCAGGAACAAGAAGGAATAAACAAGGTAGAGTGTGGAGGAGAGAGGAGAGGTGCTTGCTTGTAATTACCCCTTATCCCTAGGGGGTAGATTGGAGTTTGCACAGTTTGTGCTTGTTCTTACAGTCCTCTCTAACTAGTAGAGTCATACTCTGGATCCTGGTAAGGTGTAGAAACTTTCCTTTGCAATAGACCAATGGGATTGCTTTCTTTTGTTTTAGTAATTGCTTTCTGATTATATTACTATATAGGTTGTAGTAGTTTTTGTGTTGCTGGCCCTGATCACTCTTAGTTTTGATGCTCTAGGTTCGGAATCAGGGTCTTGTTAATGCTTCGTGCCTCTATGGGATGTCAATGATGATCTATGTGGGCATTACTAACTGATTACTTGCTCCATGGATGATCAGACCAAGTTTGTGATGTGTTCGTGTCAAAGCGGTGCGCATGCATATCATTAGTTACCTATTCCAATGTGCACGCGGAAGCGTTCATTGATCAGGGGAGGGGTGAGGTAGTGGATTAGATCAACATTGTGGCTTTGTCTTCCATGACTCATGCTAGGAATTGTGCTTCACTAGTTGGATTTCTGGCAAGCACGGATAGATTCGTCTTGATTTTAAGAAATTGTTGTTGCTATACATGTTAATCAGAAATGGTCATAGAGAGATATAGAATTTTCCATGTGCATAGATTTTTTGGTGGTTGTAGTAGAACCCAACCACACAGTTAGTTTTTGCACCTTTGATGGTTTTTGCCTATATAAGCATTTGTAGGGGTTCAATTTTCATTTTGATTTAATTTAGGCATCCAATTTACTTTGGTTCTCATGTCTTTTTATTCACCATAATTGGGAGGAGAGGAGGGTGTGCTGATTAGAAACTATGCTGAAGTATAGTTGGTGAACAATTCTAGAGAGTTTAGATGCTTCACGCACATACTAGTGAAGATGGACAAGATCTCCATTATATTTTCATGTACTTGCTGTGATGAAATGTAGTATATTGACGCTATCCTATCATCTTCTCTCATCATAGGATTGAGAGAATTGATTTGTTTCTAAACTCTGAAGAACAATGGGTTGGCAAAACTAATTTAGTTATATGTTCATTATAAAAATGTTGAAATTGGAATATGAAGCTTCATATGTAAAAACACCTAGGCTCACACAAGTTATCACTGTCGTGGTGCATATGTAATGCACTGTAGGCATGTAGTTTTTATGTAAACATACTAAATAGCTATCGAAGATCAGAAGAGATAATTAGTTTTGTGATATTGCGGCAGTGATATGCTAGGTCTATACGATGTTCAGAGAAAGCAGCTATTTGTGGTTGTAATATACTCCTACCTTGATAAGGTGAGTATCTTGGTTTTAAATGTGTGCCTAAATAGATGGAAATAGAGACCAAGAGATAACAAATAGGAACTAAAGTCATGAGAGGCCAAACAAGGTCCTCCATGTAGTTTTAGGATTAATCAGCAAACTGAAGCATAAATGGTAACAAATAAGAGTTATAATGTTTTGTGCGTGCACCTAGTGAAGAAGAACAAGATGATCATTATAGTTTCATGCAGCTACACTGATGAAAGGTTGTAGCCTATCGTCTTCTCATCAAGTGATTGAACATATTGATTTCTTTCTGGTGCACTTTAACTATTCTGGTCTATGTGTTATGTTTTTATTTCAGAACTCTGATTAATTATAACACATCTTTTATAAAGCTAACAAAACATGGCCTTAACAGTTTAACTAAGAATGACTTCTATTTATAAAAAAGTGCTGAATTATTTGCCTGGCCAGAGAAGTTATATGTGGTAAAACTGAATTGCCAAGTCTATATGGATGGATCCCACCCCATGTTGGGTTCCTCCCCTCTACATTAAGCAAATCATTGAGCAGCTGAGCGTCCTGTCGGCACAGCGGGAGCAGTGGCAGTCTGACACTGCGAAACTGACGCAGTATGTGACCACCCACAAATTACCTGGCCACTGTTATGAAATCATTAAATGTGGGCAAATTATGATTAGCCAAAGGGAGAAGCACACACATGTGTGCACATGGGGAGCAACCAAGAAAGTCAGCAAAGGAGGCTTGAAGGGTTCTCACCTCCCTGCCTCCCGTCTATAAAAGGGGACCCGAGGGGGAGCCCTTGGCCGCTGATATGACAATGTACTCATACACCAGAATAATAAAGAGCTCCCAACTTCTCCTATCTCTCTGTGTCCAGTCTTGTGCTTGTGTGCTTAATCGATAGAACGATTTCTTAACAGCCACAACCCACAATTGTCATGAGTGAGGGGTCACCTTACTACGCCCCTGTGTTTGTGATTTGTGAACGGCAAAGGCCGGCCTGATCTTGAACAAAAACATCGTGCTGTGGAAGTGTGGTTCTCTTCTCGTTGCCTGGGCATGCAACAGTTGACTGACTGATCAGACATTCAGACAACGAGGATCAAGTCAAGTCTAACCGAAACTATCCGAACTCTTTTAGCATCAGAGAAAATAGTGCCCGTGGTCTGTTGGTCCTAGATTATTGAAGGTTCTACTTGCATGGAAATTCTTGTTGGCTCTATCTACCTGATGAAAAGCCTCCATATCAAACATCGAACTGTACTCTATACACGCGTATGCAGAGAAAGTCGGCAGAACTCATTCTAGCAAGCCATTCGATGAACTTGCACTGAAACTCATCCGAAAAGAGCTTTGAGGCCCTGTTTGGGTCTCTTGAGAAAAATGAGAATAAGATAAGAAAATTAAAAATGAGATTGACACACTTGTATTTTAGATCTCATTTTATAATCCAACTATCTACTCAAACCCTGATATTTAAAAATTCTCACTATAAAGGGCAGACCCGAGTGTCGGAGGCTCCCACATGAGTGGGGTCTAGGAAAGGAAAAAACCGAGGTAAAGAGGTGTTTAGATTCAGAATTATTCTTTGCAGAATAAAAAGAATAATTATGAATCTAAACACCTCTTTACTTCTGCTAGCTAAAGACTAGTAGACAGGTTGTGAGTTGTGACTGCAACAGGCAGACCATGCAAAGTAACATCACCTGATGGGTGGTCAGGTGTACTGAACAAGAAAAGGCACAATCTTTGAATGAATGAACCACTATCTTTCTTTGTTCAGCAATCAGTACCAAACTAGCATCTCGTTCAACATACAAGCAGTACACAGTGGGGAGTAATTTTGTCAAACAGGGAGAACACATATGTTTGATTACAGGACAAAAGTGGCATTCGATCAACTGGTTGTCCCTGAACCGAAGGATTTCACGATGGTGCTTACTCTTGCACCAAAGCTTCTTGAAGCGATCTTCTTCCCTGGGACATGGAACGGGTTTGAGACGGCATCTACATATGCAGCATGGAACTTCCTGAAAAACTGAGAAAACAGAAATGAACATTAACTGGTATTCTTTTGCACACATAGAAGATCAAGCATGAGCATCAAACCTCATGTAAAATAAAAATAGTTACACAATTTTGTTTCAGTGCATCCTCAGAAAGAAGAAACGGTTTGTCTAGAACTTCTCAGGGAACACTTGATCTAAATCTAAATCTATATCTATATCTATATCTAAATCTAAATCTATATATCTATATTTATATCTATATCTATATCTATATCTATATCTATATCTATATCTATATCTATATCTATATATATATATATATATATCTTATAATCCTAAACCCCACTAGCCATTCTATCTCGACATGCAAGCAGTCCACCTCAGCAATCCACTATCACATGCATTTAATTGTTTTCTTTAGTATGCCACGCCATCCACTACAATTAATTTATAAGTATATTCTTTCATATAAGTAATTTAGTTTGATTTCATTTTAATTCATCCACAATTCCCGCAGCAACATGCGGGTATGCTTCTAGTATAATATATGTTGTATACATGTTCGATACATATATTAACATGTTTCATTAAAAAATGGTACAGTTAAACCACTGAGGAGCTTACATTTCGGGCATCTGCATCTTTGACTTCAAGATCAGTTGTGACCATGATAAATTTGACCTTTGTGTTTGTCAAATAGCCATACCTGCACACAATATATCATAATAATTAATCATTTTTCTAGCAATTGGCAGACAGATCAGGAATGTCAGTGCTATCAGCAGGAATATTTAGTTGGCGACAAGGGAACACATATAAATATTTAGTTGATATTCATTATTTTAACTTCTTTGTGAATAATCCAAGTATAAGAATTTATGAAAACAGAAACAATAGATTTTTTAAACTTCAGTAACTAATGGAGGCAGATGCCATCAGGCAAATTAAGCAAATAACTAAAACCTGGAATAAACTTACACTTTGTAGTTCTCAGTTGGGTACAGAAGACCCAAAAATGTCTCGTTCAACGTAGGCGCACTCCTTTTAGGATTGTTAACTGTCAACAGAATGAATGTCAAGGCAAATAAGAAAACAACATAATGCGTCTCAAACAAAATACGATAGCCGAACAGCACTGAGAAAAAGGAGATTAATATTTCTATACGCAAGGAATCACTGAGTTAAAACTAGTCTGATAAGATGGAATCAACTATTGCATTTGTCCATTACAATCATCTAGAACCACTAAGCTTCTATGCATGTCCAAGTCCTCACAAAGCAGGTCTGCAAAATGGTAAGTGCATGCTTTTGTCCGCATATGCCACATGATTTAAGTTTGCCCCTCTTTTGTACAAGTTGGATCGATTGTCAAGTTCTAATGCTCACTCCGGTAACTAAGGACCAGTTTGGTTGGAGGCCTGGCAGGCAAATGGCAGGCCCTAAATAACTGGAAGAGTAGATTTTTATTCCTCTAACCTGAAACTGGTGATGCCACTTCTAATTTCAGTTTTGAATTAGTAACTCCAGAGCAACAAGCACGCAATTTAATGAACATGATCTTCTCCACAAATGACTACAATCTACAGCATGCAACAAACACATTGAAAATTTCAACAGATAGAAACCAACTAGAACTCCCAGCTATTCACAGCCCGCTAAAAAGAAGGCCATCTAGATCTGGATCACGTGCCTCGACGGGGGGCGCACGCAGGTGAGAGACGCTTAGCTACCTCGCTCGTCGATGACGTCGAGGGAGCAGTGGACGATGTGGTGGAGCTTGAGGGCGTCGTCCGCCTCCGTGAAGCTCTGCAGGTACAGCGGATTGTTCTGCAGCACCGACGGAAACGCAAAGGCGAAGTTCTTAATCAATAATTTCAGCAGCGCGCAGGACGAGATCGCATCAGGCCAGATCTGCACGATCGGACGCGAGGGTCGAGTGGGGCGGTGAAGGTCCTGACCTGGTGGCCGACGACGGCGACGCAGACGATCATGATTCCTCCGGGAAGAGGACTTGAGCCAGTCACCGGAGAGGAACGGAGGAAGCGGCCGCCAGCCGGTTGCCGCCTGCCGGTAGCGAGACTCAGGCCGCGAAGTAACTCTGGGCTCTGGCTGGGCTCCCGGCCGGCCCACTCGTGTGGGCTAATGGGCGATGACGGCTTTACGTCAACAGGCACCATATGCCAAAGGACCGATCGGACGGTCAGGAGAAGTGGAGAACCCTTTCTCCGCGCACGAATCTTGATTCATGACCGGATCGAAAAAAGACTTCACGCGTGCATAATTAATCTACTAACGGTAATTCATGGAGTAAGACGTCCCGCCCCGGACGCCGCCGCTGGTGGGCCACGGTCAGCCCAAATGACGTCCTCTTATCTGCTCACCGTAGTTTCTAAAAGAGAAAAAAAATCCGCACACAACCACGCTCCATCCATGCAGCTAGCGGCGGCCGATCGGGGCGGAGCCGCCCGTGCTCATCCGTGCTCGCTGCGGCTGCCCACGCACATCTCGGTGGGGACCGAGGCTTCCCAGCTTGTCGCAGGCGGGGTGGAGCTCACCCACGTGTAGCTCACGGTAGCCCGAGCGCATCTTGCACTTCGCCTAGCTCGCCGTGGTTGGGGTGGAACTCACCCGCGCGTAGCTCGCGACAGCGGGATGGAACTCGCCCACGCACCCACACAATGTGGAGCACATGCCGTGGCCTTCTCCACCAGAGCGGCAAGCTCCGCGCCACCGGTGAACTTCACACGCTGATAAGTCTCCATTCTTCCAAGCAGCAAGGAGATGCTGCGTTGAAATCGCATGTTGCAAGCGTATATTTCAAGTGTTTCAAAGGTACGTTGCAAGAGTTTCGTATGGATGTTACAAAAGTAAATCGGGATGTTACACATGTTGCAATGGTTGTACACATATGTTACAAGCGTATGTTCCAAATGTTTCATCTGTTTTTCATACGTATGTTAGAAGTGAGTTTATTTGGATGTTTCATATGTTTCACACATATCTTGCAAGTGTTTTATTATCTCGATGTTGCATATGTTTTGCAATTGTTTTTTCAAGTGTTTTCATATGCTTTTTGCAAATGTTTCAGACACGTGTTTCATCTGTCTTTAGACGCATGTTACAAGTGTTTCATTTCGATGTTTCAAAAGTAGATCGGTTGTTACTGCTGGAGACCCGCCTACTGCACCTACTGGGGCGCCGCTGCCCGAGCACAGACATCAGGGCACGGGAGGCGGATGGCGCGCAAGCAGTCACTGAATGGGGTCAGGCGGCACGGTCTTCGAGCGACGCGGGTCCCACATGGGTGCACGAAACAGGGTGCAGACGTGGGCATCCGGGCGCTAGCACTACCGATAGTCTAACGTCTGGAGGACAAAGATTATATTCAGCTCTTTGAGAATGTGTTATGATTTATAAATTCATTCATTCAGAAGTAAGAATAGTACATAGATTTCACAAAGATAAACAGGCCGCAAGTTCAGACAATCAGACAAAGTCACATAAAGCAAATGTAGACGTAGCTCTTGTGTCAATCGCAGTGCTTATTTTCCTCAACCATTGTGCTCATGTTACAAACTCAGCATGGAGTTCTGCCATGAGTTCACAGAATAACTGATGAATAAGGGGGAGTTCCACATGGGACTTTGTTCCAGGGCTTTCATCCGTGACCACAAATAACAAACGCATCTGTAGTGCGAAACGGCAATAAGAGTACTTTACAGAATTTTCGGTCTTCGACCCAAAGCAGGATTTCCTGGAAGATGGATCCTGGATGTGGATGCACCTACCTCCCAGAGCAGTTGTGATGAAAAAGAACACCTGAAGATCATGTACAGAAGTGAGGTTAGTATTGTAAGGAGATTTCTATATCCTGTGGACATTGGTATTCAAGCTGAATTTTCATATCAAAGAAATTTATAATCTGTAATTTAATGATTAACATGACATAGGTAAATGAAATTAGAGTTCTGGGTCTGCTACTGCACTTGATAAGATATGCTAAGCAGCATATTAATTGACCAAAATATAGAGATCATATATGTACGCATAGTATTGCCATTTAAGTATGCCCAAAAAAATTAATAGGGCAACAAAATTCATTGTTCAATTTTCTGCACACATAGTTTTCACAAGAAGTTTTACTCTTAAATAGTATTGCATGGTAATAGCAGCAACCCTATGTCCCACTAGAAAACTAAGTTGTTGTATAGCAACAAGATTACAAGAAAGCTCAAACAACGACATGGATAAACAGGTTACAATCACTAACCCTATGACCAATACAGAACTTGTTAACCCCACAACTTCAGCACGTTGGTCACTGGTCACACTTTGTGAAAAACTGATTTAGCCTCTGCATCCATAGAAGGGACAAAATTGGCTAGTAGAATGGTTTGTGAAAAAGGATATCAGCTAAATAGTTCCGAGATACTAAAAGTAAAATGAAAAAAGAAACAACATCTAGACGTATGGAGCACATTGCTATCACCCAAAGATAATTGCAACTGGAATAAACTCAAATCTGGTGAATTTCAAGGGACTACAAATGATATTGCTAAAAGACCAAAACAGCTGATTTTTCCTCTCCAATTTCATGATTCTCAGAGCGAATCCAGCTTCACATCTCATACATGATACACTGCAAAATTACAATGTCACACCATTTATTCAACAAAACTTCTCACAAATTATAAATAGACCCACATCATTCTACAGCAGATTGAAGTTGAAGGTTGCAACAAAGTTTGACTCTGATCCTAAATTTGCAGAGGGCAATCCGAAGCGGTGGACGGACTCACAAATCAGCTCTTGACGAGCCTCCAGCGGCTGAGGGCCCTGGCGACGGGCGGCGTGAGCGCGATGGTGATGGGGACCCTCACGGGGAACAGTGCCTTGTTGCAGAGGAGCGCGAGCCCGAGCGCGCCGCCACTCGACGCCACGAGCTCCATCGTCCTGTTGCGGGGCTGCCGCTCCCGCTCCGTCTCTTCTTGCAGGACCTCGCTGGGCCTGGGCGGCAGGGGGCCGTCGCGGGAGGCAGGGGCGGGCGAGGCCTCGCCGTCAACGGTGACGCCAGGGGACATGCCGAACCTCCGGAAGACGGCTTCGACGTCGACGTTGTTGTTGATGGCGACGTAGAGGCCGGCGATGGAGGCGCAGGAGACGGATAGGTGGACGCCCACGGCCACCTTGCCGTACTTCCTCACGAGCTCCTTGATCCTGCCGGAGAACGCCATGGCCGCCGGCGAGCTGGAGGTTTATGATTCGGGGGCGGCGCTGTGACGGCTAGGGTTTTGGTCTTTTGCGGCGGGTCGGTTGCGGGCTCACGGCTGAAGCGAAAGCGCAGGATGGATCCGCGTCGCGGCTACCCGCCCCACGTTCCTTTCCTTCCCCTTTTGTTTCGGAAAAAAAGGGGTCTTTCCTTGCTTGGAAAATCAGGCAACCGGTCCACGCCTCCACGGCAGTCGGCACAGAATTAGAGGTAACATGCTGTAAATGCTGAGGAAGAGGAGAGAGAGAGAGGGGATAGGAAAGAGAGGTGAAGCGGCAACAAGCCTCATTTGAATCCAAAATGATGTAGACACTTCATTTGAATGTTATATACTGTTTCGTCTCTAGACACGGAAGACATGAGAGGGGCACTTCGACATCGAACAAGATCTACGCTAAATAAACTTTTGGGAGTTTTTTAGAATATGTTGTTTTTGTTTTTGCTTGCCAGCGATATAGATCATCCAGGAAAAATCCAAACAAAAGTTCATAACCTTTTTAAGCAGCACAAAAAGAAAATTTGTACTCCCTCTGTCCGGACATGGAATGGAAAGAGATTAGAATGAAGAAATAGAAGAAAAAAAAATGAGCACTAGGAAAACTTATCCATCCACCCCACAGCCTTCGTGGGCCACCGTCCGGCTCCCCGGTATACGGCCACCACCCCCACCTGTCCTTCCGCCCGTCCCCGTCGGCCGTCGTTTCCACGGACCCTCTTGGTCTCTCCTCTGTCCTCTCCAGTCTCCACGCCGTTCCAGAAGTCGCCAGCCTTTCCGCGCCGCCGCAGCCGCCTCCAAGGTTAGCCCAATCGAAACCGCCGCCCGACCGACCGCCATGGTCTTTGCCAGCTCGCTCCTCCCCGTGCCGGCCTCCCGCGTCTGCGCGAGCCCCGCGCCGGAGCTCGCCGCCTTCTCGCCGGCCAAGAAGAGCGTCTCGCTCGCCGCTGCGTGCCAGCGCCGAGGACCCCGCCACGGAGGTAGTCCCTGTTCTCCTTGCCCCAGTACTCTTAGCTTAAGCTCGGCACTTTCTTTCCGCTGCCGGTCCCGCTCGGTACGCGTGCGCGAGACCTGCTTTAGTGTAGGATCTCTCTAGGCCTCGCCGCTCTTGATCGCCAGCTGTCTATGAAATGCCAGAACGTAGGACCATCTGGGGGTCATCCGAGTGCATTTGTCAGATTGGAAGTGGTGAAAGTTCAGAATAGTAGAACAGGCCCTCTCTTGCTTCGGGTCATGTTGAACTGTGAAACTGAAAGGCATGATTTGATTTAATTTCACAAAACTACAACTATTCGTGTTTAACTATCAAGGAACTGCAACTTTCTGAGATCAGTTTCACAATCCTAAAACTATTTGTGCCCTTAGTTTCACACAAACTTAAGTCGATGCATGTGGGTCCTAACTTAATTTGTGTGGTTGATATCTGATATACGGGTCCACACAAAATGTAATAGGTCTGTGAACCTGGTGGCACAAGCAATTGTAGTTATGTGAAATTGGTTACAGAAGTTGTAGCTCCCAGTTAGCTAAGCATATTAGTTTTAGTGTTTTAGTTCCGTGAAATTAATTATCTTTTAACTGTTCTTGTTTTGTCCAAGTTCAACTGAGCACTGATTTCATTGCTAGTTGTAGGATCATGCTCCTCTAGTCCCTGCAGCTGAATAGACAATTACGATTTTCATTTTTGCTTTTCTGCTTCATCATGTTCGATTCTTCAGTAAACCCGACCAAATTCGATAACAGAAATTCCATAGGTCAATTTGGTTGTTGCATGAATAAGTGCTGCTGAGTTGCATTCGATTCTTCAGTAAACCCGACCTAATTCGATAACAGAAGTTCCATAAGTCGATTTGGTTGTTGCATGAATGAGTGCTGCTGAGTTGCATTTGAGGAGACCATTGTACCTGTGGCTAAAAAAGGGCAGCAGTATAGTATGTAAAATTTACCACAATGATTTCCTTTCCTATTTCGAGATCAGTATGGCTTGAACAGAGTTTAAGAACTGAAAATTGAGTCTATTTCATTTGTGTTTTAGCTTCTAAATTAGAGCATTCCTTTATAATGATATTTTTCTTGCGAATGTGAATCATTCACTAAGCCAAAGATACTACTGCTTAGTACTTCTTTTCTGTTTGGATAATCAGTCAGGGCGGAAGTGAATGAATCTGGAAGTGGTTTGGCTGTTGATGCCCTCTCGCAAGTTAAACATGTTCTGCTTCCAGTCCTTGATCGCAACCCTTACCTTTCTGAGGGCACAAGACAGGTTCATCTTTATCTTCAAAATACTTAAGGGGCTCTTGCATTTTTACCCTTACTTTGTATCGAAATTGTGATTTTGCCCCTGTTTTTTTTACTGTGAATTTACCCCTTTGTTTTTGAAACGAAGCACCACTTTGCCCCTATTCCGTCGTCCTCCCCTAACGGTGTTACATTTTATACAAAAGGACAGAAATGCCCATGTGATTTTGCCCATGTTTGTTATGCCTATTTGTGATTTTGCCCCTGATTTGGGAATTAGACATTTATATTTGATCAAATATATTTGGCCCAACTTGCAACTATTTCAATTCAGATTTAATATCCAAAAAAATATTCAAAAATTTGGCAGCGCCTTAGCAGTATTTTGATAGCATTATGACTAGGCTCAGGCGTTCGGTTCTAACCGAAATTTTGGGTCGATTTTTTTTTTTTGGTCGGTTCTAAACTTGACCTCATAGGCAACATATCGACACAATTTGTATTCTCATCGAACAAAATAGAGAGGAGATCGAGTCTTGTATATACATTATTGAGCACACAAGTGAGGAGATCGAGTATTCGAGTCTCATACTACATAGATGCGAGATTCTAGGCTACTGGCGACTCGTTTGTCTTAAGAAGCAGGTTGCTACTTTCCAGCATTTCGGTCATGCTTCTTTGCTTCTTCCTTTAGGACTGGCGGCGGACGAGAATCCATGGAGCTTGCCGAATCGCCGCCGCCGCTCGTCGTCTCGCCTCGCCAAGACACTAGTGGCTGCAACGGTGTTGCTTGGAGGTCGGCACATGGCACCGGTGATCCGCGTGGCAAGCCGACAGCCCCCATGCTTGCTTTGCTTTGGTGCGCTTTCGCTACTCACGCTTCGGTGTGGCTGTGGGCGGCGATCGCGGACGTCTTGGTTGACGCCACCGAGCCCCATGGGCGGCGCCGCCGCCCGGCTGCAAGACGCTAAGACCCATGGCGGGCGCCTTGACCTCCCCATGCCGCCTGGAGGAAGCCCGCGCCCCGCCGCGATGCAATGGCCATGGCGGAGGAGGAGGCATTGTGCCCCATACTCGAGGCAGCCCGCCCGCTGGTTCTTCCGCCACTGCCGCCGCCGGAAGCCCGCGACCGGATGAAGCCGTGTACGAGACTTGGGATGAGGCGACCCGTGCTTCTGTTTGGGATGAGGCGATAAGGATAGAGGGCAGTGTGGTCATTTCGCCTTTGCTTTTCAGATTTATATTTTTTTAATTCGTTTAATCCATGTCCATCTGACGGACGTCTAAAGCAGGGGCAAACGGACCATTCATTTCAAAATAGCAGGGGTAAAAATACAAAGTTGAAAAAGCAGGGGCAAAATCACAATTGGACTAGACAAGGGCAAGAACACAATTTTCCCAATACTTAAAGTGGTGAATTGTGTTCTGAATAATTTCTAAAGAATTTGTAGAGAATATGTATGAGATACATAATTGCAACTTCTTAATGTAGACACTGCTGCAAGATACTTCCTATTGTTTCTTATAATCTTATTTGTATCCTTTAATATGGAACATCAGACAAGTTTGACTCTAGCCATTTCTGTTTAGACTGGCAGTCTTAGTAAGGAAGATATGTTGGCTGCTTGAACCTTTTTCCTTTAGGGAGGACCTTTTATATTGATTATGTCCTATATCCACAACTTACTCTTCCATCACTGGCATATAGTTGCTTTGCCCATAACGGTTTGCATGACACAACAGGCTGCAGCAACAACTGCTTCTCTAGCAAAGAAGTATGGAGCAGACATCACTGTAGTTGGTACGTTCTCAATCTGAAATGTTGCTTTATGTGCTTCAGGTATTTCACATTTATTCTTCCTTAGAGATTAGAACTATTGTATGGTAGTATTCTAATTTCTAAATATGTTAATTGCAGTTATTGACGATAAACCAAAGGAGTCTGTCCCAGAGCATGATACTCAAATGTCAAGCATTAGATGGCATCTCTCAGAAGGTTTTGTGGTGCCATTTGACTCATCAACACCACCTTTTGTGTTGTTTCTTACGGCAATGCTGATATTCATTGCTTCTGTGCAGGCGGATTTTCAGAGTTTAGATTGATGGAGCGTCTTGGGGAAGAGCAGAAACCAACAGCTATCATCGGGGAAGTCGCTGATGAGTGGAACTTAGACCTGGTTGTGCTAAGCATGGAGGCAATACACTCGAAGCATGTCGATGGGAATTTGCTTGCTGAATTCATCCCTTGTCCTGTTCTACTGCTCCCGCTCTGACATGGACATGGAGCTGATTTGCATGTCATGTTTTTTGAGGCAAATGGTTTGTTTCTCTTTGAAGATGTAATTCCCGCATATTCCCTGGATATGAAGGGTTTGCGTCAGCTTATGATTCTATTATGTTGATGCAGCTTTTTTTGGAATTTGTGTGCCTGTGAATATTGCTAAGAAAATGATATTAGTCTTTTCTTTATTTCTTGTTTCCAATGAGCAGTTTCAGCCTTCAGGTATATGCTGCTGCTGTGGTTGGAATAAGATGCATTTTTTTTAAGAACCAACATTGATTCCTTGTTGGAAAGGACTAATGAGATAGATTGAATGTGGGAATATTTGGGTGTGTATGCGATGTGATATGGTCGGACTGGTGGGAATGCAGCTCCTCTTCGATCGCCCATACTATGGATGATGGATCTATGCAACTTAAGGGCTCGTTCGTTTGACCTGGAACAGAGGCAGGAACTATTCCGACCGGAGGAAACTTATACAAACTGGACACACAATCACAATCCTGGCTGGATTAGTTCCAGGCTATGATTCCCCAGGAACCGAACAGGCCCTAAAGGAGAAAGTAGATTTGCTGATATCAGCGCTTGATGAAATCCTTCGAAGATTTTAAAAATTCGCTGAGTGTCTAAATTGAATTCCGTGATTGCACCATTACAATAAATCCTTCTAAACAAGATTCCACCTAAATATATTTAGATAAAAATTTAGTTGAAAAACATTTTTGTCATTAAGATAGATTTTTTTTATATTTTTGTTATAAGCAGGCAATAGTCCAGATTTCAGAAATCAATGTTTTTTCTTTTAAAAAAATCAGGAGAATAGTATTCCAGACTTAGAAGAATATAATTCTAAGTTCAAGTGGATGTTATTTTTAATAATATTCGTGTTCAGTACTAAAAGACAAGAATACATACAAAGAATGAACAACTATCTTCTTCGGACAAACAGGAGAGAGAAACAAATATACAAAAAGAAAAAGGTTCAAAAGAAACAAAAGAATTTGGAAATGAACTTTAGACAAGCATGAGAGAAAGAACCACTATCTTCTTCAGACAAACAGGAGAGACAAACAAATATATATAGAGTTTTGTTACCGTGCTTGGGAGAAACCGGTGGTTCCTCTCGTAGAAAAAAAAGGGCAAGTGGCAACAAGGGCAACAGGAGGCTCAAATTTCCTTGGATACAGTCTGAGAAAAAAAATGTAATGTACTTTCTATGCCATTTGAATTTTGAAGTGATAAAAAAATGTGGCAAAAAACACAAAAAGCTTTCAAATTTCAGCCCACTCTGCAATTAGAGTAGGAAAGCCAAGGTCCTAGCCAAACTTAAAATCAACTACACTAAGTCATCATCGTCCTCCGCAGCCATGTGCTTTGCTGGTTCTTCCTCCTACTGGAGCCTCTCGCGCCTCTTCTCAACGCATTCTTTTTCCTTGTGAGAGTTTGGAGGGAATTTCAGAGCCTTAACCGCCTCATTGTGCATGTTCAAGCAAAATGTGAACCGGGAGTAAAAAGCTATCTGTGGCTCATTTGTAGAGTAGACATCACCGGTCTTCTTCGACACCATCCGACTGTTGGCAAGATCAAATGGTGGCATCAACGGCCCCATCCCTAATGGCCTTGGTTACAATGCTTTCAGCATCAGCAACACTGCAACAGTGTTCTCGAGATGGTTGAATAAGAGAGCTATTAGAATGATTTTTGCTATAAAAGTAAAAGTACTCTTGGGGGTGCTCAGAAAAAGAGCCGCAAAGTAGGCCTTATTCCTTTCAACTCTTCAACACATTAGAGAGTTATCTTCTGATGAAGGACATGTTGGACAATTGGAAATTTGAGACTACGAGTTTATCATGCTATAAACTAACCGAAATGAACTATAGATTTTGCAGACGACACTTACATGGAGAGAAGAAAAGTCTTGTTCCGTCGTGTACAAAGGTCATTCACATTGCAACTGCCACAAACTTTTAAATCAAAGTCGCATTTCAAAAACAGCACATACAAAAGCGTGCACATTTCAACAGGGAACAAGACTTCGTTTTTATATTTAAAAAAATAGAAAGAATGCCTTGCTCTAAACCTTTAGGAAACTACAATTAGTTTAAGACATCTACTGGGAAGGAGGAAGCATTGTAAAGATGCTACCCTACAGACCTAGTCAAATATCAAAACCTGGCTGCATTCCGACACAGAATGTCAATCTTATACCAAGTATAACGTTAACTGACAACAACAGATGATACATCTTCATATTTGGAGCAGGGATCCAACAAACAACCAGTCCGGACTGGTAACAGCTTATGCACCGGCCGCAGCAGCATACATCACGCCGTTTGCATTGCCCCCACGTCCTCTACCTCTGGATGGGCCTCTCCCACGACCCCGGCCTCGACCTGGTTACCAATTGCACTAGATTAGCAAGGGGCATTTGCATACAAGTTACTTCCTCCGTCTCAAATTATAGTATGTACCATAGATATACACTATTCACTAGTCTAGATACGTAATAAAAACTATATATATATCTAGAAAAGCCAAAATGATCTACAATTTAGAATGGAGGGAGTATTAAACGATGAATGTGAGGTTACCCACCTCGGGTTGGAGCATGAACAGGTGCCTCCTCGTAATAGCCTCCATCCTGTTGGTAATCAGGCTGGTCATTGTAGCCGCCTCTCCTGCCACGGCCCCTGAAACCGCGACCTCTTCCACGGCGATATCCATTGCCCATATATGCAGGGGCGTGATCATCTTCCCAACCGACATCAGCATAGTCATTGTACCCATTTCCTGAAACTTAATATGTAAGGAACAATTGCACATGTGACGGATTGATGGTTTACTCAGCAGCACTCAGCCTTACCACGTCCACCTCTTCCCCTACCCCTGCCCCACCCACGGCCTCGACCACCACGACCCCTTCCTCGGCCACCAGGTACTGCATCTACAATCAGTTAAATGAATGAGGCCATACAGAATTATTAAAACGTTAAGAATAATTAACATAAGTGAATCTTGCACGATACCTTCATCATTATCATATTCAACCAAAGGCTTCACTTCATCAGCAGGCAAAGGAGATTGATATCTGCCCAAACAATTAATTCAACTGATGATAAGCCAGCAGGCATCCTGAACTACACCCTCCATTTCAAAATATAGGGCGTATTAGGATTCAGACAAGTACTTAGATTTTGACCAACAATTACTCAAATTATATGCATGCATATATAAAAGTTGTATCAATAGAATCACATTCCACATATAATTTAATCCAAATTTATTTTGAAGTAACTGATGATATATTTTATGAGTAATTGATGATCAAAGAATGCTTCAAAAGATTTTTCAAATCCTACTATACCTTATAAAAAGAAACAGAGAGAGTACTGATTTCTTATTAGATTACTTGATGCAGCAAGATGTGAGTTCATGATGTATGCAACCATAGAAATTGGTTAAAACAAACTGGCAAAGAAAATCATTAAATGCAGTTGACAAAAGAGAGCAATATGCATACCCGATAGACGATGTGTCCAGCTCCTTCATTGAAAGAGTTATAGTGATCATAGAGACATGTCTTGTTGTCTCAAGCCTGCAGAGAGATATAATCTTAAACTCCAAAATTAAGAGCCCATGTGCACATATAGCTCTATCCTGAAATAGAAACAAGTCACTTACGGAAGTAGGCCTTCCTCCAATGGCTCCCACATATCAGTAATATCAGTAGATCCAGTGGTGGTATTCTGATGGAGACCAACAATCCTCCTCTTCACAGAATAACAGTAACAATTAGAATCAAGTCACAAGTAATATTAGCAAGCACCAGAACCATCAGGAGTACCTTGATCAATTCCGCAATCATGACAGTTTTATTGATAGCCCTTCCCATGGCCTTGAATACAACCTCATCAGAACCTTTGTCCTTCAAGTAAGAAATATAATACGGTGAAACATATCAGGCACACAACACAAAGTGTATTGCAGAAAAGCAGAAGTATCACATAAAATTATATTCTGGACACTCTTACACACCTTGCAATTTTAAAGCACAAAAACACTACTTGAACAAGAAGATATCATTTAAGAAAGGACCAAGAACAAATATAATAATCCAACAAATTTCTCAAACAAATTCAGAAACAGAAGTCTCTACAAGGCATTTAACTGTTCCAATTTGCCCCAAAATGGCAACTATACACAACTAAAGGAGACATGATTAATGGGCACTGGGGTCCTAATTTTCTAAAGGAGACACACATGGACCATATGACAAAAATGGCAACGTGTAGACAATAATAATATTGTCACATCAACTACATAACAAAAAACAGTATGCCAAGTACCAAACTGTGACAGCTAAAGCAGGAAAGAAGAGCATCTTATATTTTGCCTTTTTCAGTGGTGCATCACATCACAGACATCGTGCGGTTTTATTTGTCACTATATATATCAGCCAATATCTGGACTAAATCTGGTCTTCTTTAGCATAATAAGATGCTTTGGGTTTTCGTGGGCACATCAAAAGCTCTTGCCCTTGCCTTTAATGTTGCAAAAGTTGACAGCAAAAATTACTAAATCAGACAAATAACCGACAAACCAATTGGCAATTACATTCTAATGGATGAGATTGCATGCCATAAGCAGGGCATGAAAAAATCAATGTGTTGTGTTTCTTAAAATGAAAACATAACTAACATAATAAACTTTAAAGTTGGCAGTCAGGTCACCTAGTACATAGGTGCCTTTCCCCTTTCACAATTCTAGTTGCAATTAAAAAAAAAGAGGGAGACATGCTTTACTGCATGTCACAACAACTCGTACAGGCCAATCATTCCGCTTACTTTTCAATCACTCCCCTAAACGACTAAGACATCTCTGACCACGCCGACAACGTACTACTAATGGTAACAAACTTTATGGCGCTAAATAGACAATTCAAATTGCGCAATGACATTGAAATGTCCTCGGTGGAAAAGCGAGGGAGCTAATAGGGATACCTGGAGCAAGGCGGTGGCGTAGGTGATGTAGTTGCGCATCCTCCCCTGCGTGGTGACGCGGATCTCGTTTTCCTTGATGGGCGCCTCCTCCCTCGGCTTCTCCACTCTCTGGTACCGGTCCATCTTCCCCTCGCTTCCCTTTCGCTGCACACACAGCACAGCACAATGCGAGCGAGCCCACTCAGATCCGGCGGGACGCGAGAGCGCAGCGCGGCAACTGCTGTAGCGCGAGGCGCGAGCGCAAGTCGAAGGCGAGAAATATAATGGAGCGGATCAGCGGAGCCGGCGCGCGCGGTTGCTAGTCGTGAAGCGGGAGCGGTCGGTTACCTGCACGGCAGTTGGGGCCGGGCGCCGGCGGTTGTGTGTCCTTGGCTCGCTGGCGTCGCTGGTGAAGATAACCGCCGGGAGAGGCGGGAGGAGAAGGCCTTTATACGGCCGCCTCCGTTCAGACCGGGGACGCGAGCGACCGGGTCGGCTGCCTGCCGCGCGTCTAGGGTTTTGTTGGTTGTAGTTACGGAAATGCCCCTGAACGTTGCGTGTGTTGTTTGGGTACGGGATTCTATTTTGACGGACGGATTTTGGACATCTACGGCTGGGGTTGGAGTCGGGATGACTTTACGGAAGGGTATCTGGGTTGTGTGGGCCACTTTGATGGAGTTCAATTTGAGCCCAATGGGTATCATTGGTTATTAATAGTTTGAACAATTGAGCGTTCTCTCATTTTGCGGTCTCTCCCTACCACGTCGACATTCGATCCGGCATCGACGAAGGGCTCGTGAGAGTTAGGTCTTTCAGATCTGTTGGTTCTCGTTAAATCTTAGTGATATTTGGTGTATTTATCAAGGAGAGCAGTCAATTGGCTTTTTTTTTATGGAGATTTCAACCTTTTCTTTTGGTTTGTTCTATTACAAAGTCTGGCATATCTAATACTCTGTTCTGATTGTGAAGGATTTCTAAGCCTGTGTTCCTTAGAGGGTTCCTCTAGCCAATGTTCTTTCAATGGGTACTAGATCTCGTTGCCAGCGGCGAGTGGATTTTTGTGGTCTTCAAAGCCTTGTATGGTGAGGGTGTTTGCAGGTGTCCTTTTCCTCTGCTGTCTTTTCGGTGCGTTCTTCAACCTTTGACAGGCAATGGACAACCAAAGAAAAAAGATAACCATTTTGATATTTAATGTACTCTTATTTTTTAGAGGTCATTTTGTGTCAAGTTGTCCTTTTATACAAGCTATTGTTTTCCTTATATATACTCCCTTGAGTGTCTATCTAAAAAAAGATATTTTTTTACAAGATCTCTCATTTTGGGGAAAACCATCAGCCTGTTCATTTCGTCGTAAACGATCGTGGATTATTTACTGATGGCTGGTTTGGTGTGAAAGAAAAAAATATTGTTCCAGCTTATAATCCACGATCATATACGAGCAAATGAACAGGCTGCATGGGCACTCAAGTTATCAAGTGTTGGATATAATATGGGTTTGGCCCATATAATATTTAATAAATCAAATAAAACTCTATGGTACGTAACATTAAGTGTTATATTGCTTAATATCATACGGGATTTTGACTGAACGCTGACTCAGCTTATATGGTTAGAAATTATTCATCTAAATTGAGAAGCTGAGAAAATAATAAAGGCATGTCATTGGCACACCGCCGCCATTGCCATGGGCGGGCCATGAAGCTCTCAAGGTGGCCGAGGCCGTGGCAAAGGGGGGCGAAAGTGGCGGCAAGAAGTGATGGGCGGACGTGGCCAGTCTTTTGCCACTTAAATCCATATTATCACGGGAGTTTCGCTCCTTGATGGTGGAGGCGAACTGACTGCGTCAGTTAACGTCCCTTCCGCTTCCGCTTCCCGTCTTCTGGGATTCTCCACTGCCTTCGTCTCCTTCCCCTGTCGTAGCCATATATCCCGTCATCCGTCAGTCCAGACCCTGTCTTCTACAACCACTCCCGAGAGAGATCAGTATCCCGTCCTCCGTCAGTCCAGACCCTATCTTCTGCAACCACTCCCGAGAGAGATCAGCAGCCTTCTGACTTCCCCGTCCCGTACCTCTACGCGCACGGAGGAGAGGGAGAGCAGGTGCCTCCGGAACCATCAGCCGCCTGAGAATCCTACACGGGCTGAGCGGTGATTAGGTTTTTGGGGAGCGATCCGCGACTGCTCGTCCATCTTCTTCCTGCTGGAGATCGCTCTTGGATCCGTCTTCTCTCTAGAAATTATTCATCTAAATTGAGAAGCTGAGAAAAGGATAAAGGTGTGCCACACGCGCGCGTGCGCCACCGCCGCCGCCGCCGGTGGCCGGGCCGGGCCGGGCCGAGGCCGTGGGTGTGGCGAGGCGAACGAGCGGACGGGCGTGGCCAGTCTTTTGCCACTTAAATCCACATTATCACATGAGTTTCGCAACTTGATGGTGGAGGCGAACTTACTGCGTCAGTTACCGTCCCTTCCTCTTCCGCTTCCCGTCTCTTGGGATTCTTCACTGCCTTCGTCTCCTTCCCCTGTCGCAGCCATATATCCCGTCCTCCGTCGGTTCAGACCTTGTCTTTTGCAACCACTCCCGAGAGAGATCAGCAGCCTTCTGACTTCCCCGTCCCGTACCTCTGCGTGCATGGAGGAGTGGGAGAGCAGGTGCCTCCGAAACCATCAGTCGCCTGAGAATCCTGCATGGGGTGTGGAGCGATCCGTGACTGCTCGTCTATCTTCTTCCTGCTGGAGATCGCTCGAGGTGAAGGAATTTCTATCTAAAAATTTTGAGATGAAAGATTTGGGAGAGGCTGATGTTATTCTTAATATCAAGCTTCAAAGAGAAGGTGATGGTGGGTACCTCTGTTACAAACCCACTATGTGGAAAAGGTGCTAAGTCGCTCTGGGTTCAGTGACTGTGCACCTGCTCCTACACCTTATGATCCTAGTGTGCTATTGAGGAAAAATTGGAGAATAGCAAGGGATTAGTTGAGATATTCCCAGATCATTGGTTCGCTCATGTATCTTGCTAGTGCAACAAGGCCTGACATCTCATTCGTTGTGTGCAAGCTGAGCCGGTTTGTGTCAAACTCGGGAGATGATCACTGGCGTGCTCTTGAGAGAGTAATGGGCTACCTGAAAGGGACCATGAGCTATGGTATTTGTTATACCGAACATCCAAAAGTGCTAGAAGGCTACTATGATGCCAACTAGATTTCTGATGCTGATGGGCTTTATGCTTGTAACAGAATCGACCAATTATACGAAATTAAGTAAGAAAATCATCCATCAGAGCAGACGATTTAGCAAACTTAAGCCCGTATAACTCGGTAGTCCGTGAAATCACGAAGGATTTCAAACCAACTCACATACCAGCTAAGATCGTAATAAGTTTAGCGGTCACCATCACATATTACATAAAAGTTCGCATCACAGATACATCAGAGTTTAAACATAGTTATTACAAAACGAGTTCAAATAGAATTAGCGGAAGCCATTTGTTCAAAACCACACACACTCACACGGAGTTCAAATACAGTGCCAGCTAATGATCATCTCCAACAAAAGCATCAGACAAGACGTAAGGAATGACCATGCCCATGGTCCTAAGCATCACCCATCGCAAGACAAAGGCAGTTGATACAGTAGCCGTAATACATCTGCCCATCTGCAACAAGTGGGAATAAAACCCTGAGTACGAGAAGGTACTCAGCTAGACTTACCCGACATAACCGAAAATAAAGTGACACCAAGAATTATGAAGGGTTTTATAGTAGGGTAGCTGACTCATTTGCAAAAAGCGGCATTTTTAGTATTTCAAGAACATTTCCAAAAGCATTATTGTCAAGTTAATTATTATTAACCTGTCGACTATATTTGCACATATACTAGAGCAACCATGTGATTAAACAAATAATGATAACCAATGATCATTAACAACTTTCATAATGTCATATTCATTATAACTGTCCAAGTGTTCCATCAACATTACTACGATGAAGTCACTCAAGTCAAGTGCTCACTATCCAGGAGCGATGGCGATTCGAATCGATTCCTAACCAGCTGATGATTTATTCCTTACACAAACCTCACTCACCCGCTAAAGTGAGGTATCGGTCACCGAGTAAACTATCTAGGAATTTCGAGTTTGCCAGGAACCACATGTACCCGGGGGCTGACCGACTGCTCTTTGGTCTTATCTTCGCGCCCTCGTGTCCTACCACACCTGCTCCGGCACAGTGCGTTGCGGGCAATCTACTCGGCCCGAATAATCTCCCAGCTTCGCGGTCGAAAGGTACTTTATTCGGCCAGCTAAATGTAAGGCATGCGTTCAACATGACCTGAGGCCCAACAACGGTCGGTCCTTAATCGACACAGACGGAAAGCACTACAGTAAAAAACTCTGTAAGTCTCCGTCCGGTCTCAACTTCATTTAACACTTAGTTATACCATGACTACATAGTTCTCCAAGCAGATCCAGGTAACCACCTATAGCTCGTAGGTGACAGAAAATCATTCGACTTCTACCGGTCTAAGCCAGCTAAGCATTGACTCGACTGCGGATACCAGGGTAACAAGGATATAGTATAACAAAGGTAGCCAATGTATAATGCAGCAACGGTTGCAAACAACTCCTGAACGTAATGCATCAATTAAAGTAAAGCATTTAATTAAAAATTGCAAACCGGGGAGAAAAATGCTCCGGGCTTGCCTCTCTCGAAGGAGCTCGGGCGGTAATCGGGGCACTCTGAAAGTTCCTCAACGTCCTCCTCGTCTGCTTCGATCACTTCCTGCGACTGCACCTTGAGCTGTTCCTCGGGCTCCTCGGGTATGACGACTGGGCTCTCAGTTTGCGATCCTGTATGATGCAGGTGCGTAAGTGCTTATGCAAAAGTGCATCGGATGAAATGAACACAATGGATATGCTTGAATGTAAGGTAGTCAACATCATCCAAGAACATATACTACAAGCACATGTCATCTACCGCATTCTCTTCTACTACTAATATGCTGAGTCAACACATCTCATTAAATGCTTCAAAGATACACCAAAGCTTCACTAATTTCTTAATCACACATAAGGCAACATTAGATTAAACCTAAATTAATAATAGGTTTGAATAGCAACATCTATTTTTATAGCTTAGAAAAATCTTAGA